TCCCAAACAGGATTCCAAATTTAAACAATACATTCTTCTGCTTTTTCTATGAACTTGATTTCTCAGACTATATGTATCTAAGAATTTTGTGTGCAAAAAAGGTTAAATTAAACAGATAACAACACTTACAGTGTGGTAATAAAGCAATAATAGCTTAAATTTATTGAAAAGTCAACCAGGCAACTATAAGTTTTATTAAATCATTTAATCTTCAAGAAGAAGATAATATTATTATCCTTTTTCTATAGATGAGGAAACTGAGGCACGGAAAGTAATTTTTGCCCAGGATTATAGTGAGCTGATATGCGAATCCAGGTCTATTATACTAGACTTTCCTGCCTCCTCCTCCGTACCAATAAACATGTTCTTATTGTTATATCTTCAACTCAGATTTAGGGAAACAAAGCATATTTGACTAGCTTATCTTTTATTCTATCATTATATGCATTAAAAATAATTAATACAAAAACAAACTTATGCTGCAGGCTCTAAACATCATTTTTCTAACAAGCTGTTACCAAGCTTTTTTCTCTGAAATCTTTCTGTTGAAATAGATCTCAGTCTACGCTTACTCTCTCACTTCCCATGGTGCTGCTTTCCTAAAACCCAAATGTGCAGAAAAATGAGATGAGACAAATTAGTGAAAATGTAGATTAAACAAACTCTATAAATCTCATTTCTCAGAGCACCTGTTTTATGAGGAAATAATAATCTTCAAAAAAGAAACCACATTGGCATTAGTTGCAATGTGTATTTTGCCACATAGATTATTTCTAAGGAATAACTAAAAATATAACCACAGGAAAACCACTGCTAAATGAATATATTCAATATTTCACAAATTTCATCAGGAAAATCCCATAGTGATTCTTGCTGAACACCCATTTAGAAGAGTTAATTTTAACTTTCTTAGCACTCTTAACATGTAGAGAGAATGCTTTTCTTTTGATAGACACAAAAAATTGCTTCAAAGTCATGATTCATGCTTTATCTCACATAGTAAAGCTACAGGTTTCATGAGTGATTAAAAATAAACCTGAGAAATGTCTCTTTTTTAAATATCTAGGGGGAAAAAGACACTATGACATGACATTTAAGTATTTTAATTCTCAAGGCCAGATTCTAATTCATGATGACCAAGAAATAGAAGGAGCCATCACCCTGTCTGGTGTGGCTCAGCCGGTTGGCTGTCGTAAGGTTGCCAGTTCATTCCCAGTCAGGGCATGTGCCTGGGTTGCAGGTCTGGTCCCCTTTCAGGAAACACAGACGAGGCAACCAATTGATGTTTCTCTCTCACATCACTGTTTCTCTCCCTCTATTTCTCCCTCCCTTCTCTTCTTCCTAATAATAAATAAGTAAAGTTTTTTAAAAAGGAGACATAATTTAAATGAATAGTACCAAAGGTAACTATAAATAGGATCTGGTGCCAAAAGATAATAGAAGTACACGCATTATAGTATTTAAAGTTCTAGGTACATCCACAGAGCATGCTTGTATATATAGTCCTTACATATTATCCTTTGTATTTCATTCTCCAGAGTTACCTCATCTCCACAATCAGGTACATCACCATAGTTACAATGACTTGTAATTTTTCTGGGTACAGGAAAACTATGAAGACTTTCTTTAAAATTTTTCCAGATAAAAAGCTATTAACCATAATTACAGTTTCTTTTCTTTATTTTATACTTATCTAGACTTTCTTACATACTCATCATCAGAATCTTGAGCCAAAAATGTTAAGAAAACATTTACAATATGCGTGAGGCTGAAAAAACCTCAACGCCAAGTGATGCTTAGGATAATGCTTTGTACCTAATCATCTTCATAAAATCATTCAGAATTTGAAGAGGCATAACCCTGCTAAGTATCCTAATTCTAACAGAGCACCAAACTGTCTAAACTAAGAAGGAATTGTTTCTAAAACGCATTAATCCTGGAAATCATTGTGAAAGTGGAAGACACTGATATGGGTTTCAAAAAGTGAACAAGGTCTCCACAGGAAAAGGGCTGAGAGGTGTCCCAGACATGGAGAATGAAGTGGGCAGGCATAGAGCGCAAAGGTACGGCGTGTATGTGTTTGGAGAATGGCCCAAAAATCTGAAATATCTGGAGCAAAGAGATGGACACTGATTGCTGAATAATGGGAGCTGAGACTAGAAAAGTTAAACACGTGCCAAATGATGGAAGGTTTTCAAAATACCCAGCCTCAGTGTTTGGCAGCAACAATGAGTCCCAGAAGACAACTGGAATAAAAGAAAAAGAAAAGCACAGCCATGCTTTAGGAAAATTAACCTGATGGTCATAGGCAAGATGGTGTGGGTAGCAAAAAGGGGTGGGAGGGGAGCACTAGTGTCACAGTCCAGGCTGAGGGTGAAGGGAGTAGGCCTTAGTGTGGTGGGAGAGACGGGAATGGATCTAACAACTTTCACAGTAAAAAGGAAAAGGAGGATTCCAAAATAACACAGAAATGTGAACTTGAGTGAACAGGAGAGCAGAATCTGCATGGTTCATGGAGTTTGTTCATACACTGGGGGAAAGGTCATGGTCTAACCTGAGCTACTTTTGATTCTCAAAAGTAAACTTATAGCCATAAACATACATTCTCAAAATTTCAGTCTATCAGGAAACATGGCTTTCACTCAGGGCCAAATGCTGCATTTAGTTATCTACACACTATTCCACTGATTCCAAAATAAATTACATGCCTAGAACTAATGGTAGATTAGTTGATACGTCTGGTAAGGAGTTAATATCCAAAACTTATGAAGAACTTATAAAACTCAACATCAAAAAACAAACATTCCAATTAAAAAATGGACAAAGGACCTAAATAGACACTTCTCTCCAAAGAGGACATACAGATGGCCAATAGACGTGGGAAAAGATGCTCAACATCATTTATCATCAGAAAAATGCAAATTAAAACCACAATGAGATATCACCTCACACATGTCAGAATGGCTATAATCAATAAATCAACAAACAAGTGTTGGCAAGGATGTGGAGAAAGGGGAACCCTCATGCCCTATGGTGGGAATGCAGACTGGTGCAGGGACTGTGGAAAGCAGTGTGGAGTTCCCTCAAAAATTAAAAATGGAACTGCCTTATGACCCGATGATCCCACTTCCGGGAATATATCCAAAGAAACCCAAAACACTAATTCAAAAGAATATACACATCCCTATGTTCATTGCAGTGTAATTTACAATCCCTAAGATTTGGAAACAGCCCTAGTGCCCATCAGTAGATGAGTGGATGAAAAAGCTGCAGTGCATTTACGCAATGGAATACTACTTGGCCATAAAAAAGAAAGAAATCTTACCCTTTGTGACAGCATGGATAGACCGGGAAAGCATTATGCCAAATGAAATTAGCCAGTCAGAGAAAGACAAGTACCACATGATTTCACTCATCTGTGGAATCTAATGAACAAAATTAACTAACTAAATAGAAACAAGCTGGTAGACAGAGAGCAGGCTGACGGCTGTCAGAGGGAAGGGAGTTGTGGGGCTGGGTGAAAAAAGTAAAGGGATTAAGCAAACAAACAAACAAAAAACCTCATACACACAGACAACAGTATGGTGACAACAGAAGGAAAGGGGAGCAATGGGAGACAGAAGACGGTGACAGGGGATACATGATGATGGAAGGAGTCTTGACCTGCAGTAGTGAACACACAAACACACAGCACAATACACAGATAATGTGTTATAGAATTGTACACCTGAAACCTATATAATTTTATTAACCAGTGCCACCCCAATAAATGCAATTGAGAAATTTAAAAATAAAATAAAATGACATCTCAGGAACTGACTTGCAACTTCCCCAATCTTAAACTGCCTTGCCTCAGAGAATTTTTTTTTTTTAAATAGATTTTGGCCTTACATGTACATTTGTAAGCCAACAATGTGACCCTTCCTAAGATAAAAACAAAAAAAATGTAAAGCATTCCGTTCTGACTTTTCAAAACTCAAGAAGAAGATACCTTGTCTCCACTAAGGCACCAAGAGATTCATTCTCTGATACCCAAGGTTACCCAAGTACATTTTACACTATTATACATTCATTATATATAATTAGCTTCATTCACTTTTTAAACTAAACATATAATCAGAATTATGAAACATAATACACACTATGTACTAAATATATGTGATAAGCTTTAGCTTTTCTTAAAATAGGAATACCTGAAAAAGTTGATAACTTCTTACTTGTCAACAATGTGTTCAAAACTGATCTTGGGTAAATTCTCTCTTTAAACTGACAAAATAGACTCATCTCTATCTTCTTTGATATTATCCTTAGATTTAGAATATTCATTCAAATTATGTTCACTTAAAGGAACAAACTTCTTATATAAATCCAACCCAACTACAGATGCCAGGTGTCAACAATAACCATATCACCAATGTACAGACAATTTTTGTCAGATTCAATGTGAAATTAATCAGTCTAAGCAATTCTGAGAGAAGTACATTGCAATTCATGGAAGAGGAGAAACTATACAGACACATATACAACTTAAGAAAGGATTTTTTTCTAATCAATTCTAGTTTTAAAAAACAGAGTCTGTTTTATCTATGTATAACTAATTACCCAATTTTTTTAAATGCAAAATAACATTCTCCTGAGTTGTTTGTATTCAACAACTGCACAAGTCATGACTTAATAGTAGGCATATTTTGTGCCTTGTTAGAAGCATCTGGGGTGGCTGTAATGTAACGGGGTCAAAACCGTCACAAGGTGTACCAGTGTAATCAGAGAATCAGGCGAAGGGAAAAGTAGATAGCAGCAAGTCAAAAGTACAGCAATACAAACACCATGTAGGACTTTCCTCCCATTTACCACACAAGCTGCTCAGCTAGTTGCAATAAATGAGTTATTTTGCTTTCTGGGAAAATATCCCTACGATTGGCTAGCCATCCTAACCGAAAGGAGCTGTGAAATCATCCTTTGTCATATTTCTGTTACCTGCTGAAGAATAATAACTAGGCAGGAATATTTTAATGGCTAGTAAAACATCATAATCTTTGTGTTTAAAAGGCAATCAGTATAATTCTGAGAAACACATGATGTTTCTGATTCTTTAAAATAATTCACAATGATTATCATAATTCCTAAATGTGTTATCACACAGTGGAACAGTAAGAATGAAAGGAAACAGACAACACAGAACCGGAGAGAACGCTCTTCTTATGGGAGCAGATATTTCTCAAAAGAGTAAGTAACTATTTATTTTGCTCTTACCTGATGGCAGCTCGTTTAACCAAGGGTATGTCCTTTATGGAGGTAGTTTATCCTTTGAAGAAACAGTGGCTTGTCCCACAGCCCAAGAGAGACTGGAGTCCTGGAAAACTATCCAGCCCAAAAGAATACAGAGGAAAAAGCTTTTCCCACTTTCTTTCCCAGGACTAGCCAATAGCTGAAGTCATGCAGGAAACTGAGTACAGGGAAAGGGAAAGCAGCTTCTTCTCCCTGAAATCCCGATCAGCAGAAATTGGAGGCTGTTGTATATCTCCCACCCAGACTTTTGTTTAAAAGTTTTTTCAACTGTTGCTAGGTGTTGTTGGGTTCTGAGATTAGGTTTCTCGTCTTCTGCTCCCTTCAAAACACCGTCAGAGCAATGACTTTGTTGAGGAGCTGGCTTGCGCGTGCTATATTTAACCAGTGTTCTCAGCAAGTCAAGCCTGTCAACAGCTGAGAAGTTTGGAGCCGGCTTTACTCAGTTCCTCGGCAGCTGGGTTATCAGTGGATATAGCTCTGCTCACCCTGCGAAAGATTGCGGGGAAACCGGCAGTCCCTTTTAAGGATTTCTGCTCATTACACAGAGGTAATTATTACTCAAAGCACTTAAATACAGACTGTGATTTGGGACTTGGGTTTTTAAATCTGAAAATGAATCAAACAGCAGCAGTTGTTTGGAGCAGAACATTTTACCAATACAATATTTTTCTCAATTAGGCTTTCTTAGAGAAATGTTCTTTAATTAAAAAAAGCTTTTATGTAAAAGTGTATCACAACTGTTGGAAAAATTCACAGTAAGAGATTATTTCCAGACTATTTTTATATTGACGTGTTATATTCATAGCTAGATGACTTACCCAATCATATCAGACTTGACCAGCTTATATACCTGAATGTTATAAAAGTAAGATTACTGTAAAGAAATGTCTGTAACATTGTTTTGGAAAGGAGTAAAAGTTAAGAAAGAAAATCTTAGCATTCTCACTCAGGTCATTCATTCAAAGTAAGAAATGGGGGACACTCCAGGAAAACCCTCGCTGTGGACAGCCTTGCCTCATCATTAACCCTCCAGTGTCCAAAACCAGAGAAGGGTCACTTCTGCCCTGAACTCTAACATGAAGAATGTCTGAAGAAATCTTATTTGTTTTATTCTATGTTCTAAAAGACTATGAATCTGCCAAGACTAAGAAACATGAAAAATATGCGTTTAACTAACTAGTTCTTAGAACTGTCTTACTCATTACTTACGTGAAATTAATGGCAAGAGGAACTGAGAGGGATCTTTAAATTGCAGGTAAAGTAGGACAGGACACACACCACTGTTGATTAATACACTAGACTATTGCCCTGACAAAAATCTCACCAGAACCATTATAGAGGTGACTACCTGCTACCTGAGATCAACTTATCAGTTTAAAGATAACCCTTTTTTGATAGGCAAACTGAAGGTGGACCAAGGAGACATTTAAAGGCATGGATTTAAGTGTTGCAATCTTGTAATAAAGCGGCTTGTGTGCTGTATAACCCTAATGTCTCTCTGGGAAGGCTACCACTTTTCAGAAGGCGGGTGCATGTCCTCTTTAAGGAATGACTCTCACCTCCAAGGTTAGCTGACCCCAACACCTCAACCCATTAGAAAACATCTCAGTTCTTCCCATCCCAGCCACCACACTAATAACATTCAGTTTTTCCTCTTAATTTATTTACTACTATTCACATATAAAATTGCATTTGTTCAGATTCTTAGTCTTTCTGGGTCTGGGCCAAACTTGATTAAAAAAAAAAGGTTTCTATTAAGATGAAAGCATTCTTATGTGAAATTAACTGACTCTTCTAGAACACTAATGGATCTGTTAGGAACAATCAATTCACAGTTTCTAAAACGTGGATCCAACAGGAGATGGAAGCGTGTAACTGGGCTATGAGATAGTTCTGAATCACCAACAGAACTTTTTAAAAAATACAAAGGGCTCGCATCTGGGGAGACTATTGTTTTAAAATGCTCACACCCCAGACACACATCCCATATGCAACAGATGCAAGGTGAAATCCACTTCCTTGAAAAGGACTTCAGGAATGTTCTCATTTTACCCCTACTCAGAGTTCACTTACAGATGTCTCCCATCGAAAATGAACCAGAGTAGTTTGTAGCCAAAATCAAGATAACTGAGGGGAAATAACCCACTTTCTCTCAATGGGCCTAAATAATTTCACTGAGAGGGTGATAGTTATTTCTTCTCTGACTCTCCAGACAATTAGACTTTTCATTTTCTTTTCTTTAATAAAAACCTAGTTCCCCACACCGTTGTTTTCTTTAATTCTTGGATTAGCTGTCCATTGTCACTATTAGTTTATTTTAAACAATGTGGTGACAAGCAGCATACAAAGTACCTCATGTAATTAGATACTGCTGCTACCTTCAGGTTATGTTCTTTAATTATACTAGTCATATGTGTTTGTCTGACTCAGTATTTCACAATAATCTGTCTTTTCTCATTCTCTCCATCTCCTTCTCCCTCGCCCTTCTACACACACACATTTATTCGCTACCTCTCTCTAGAAAATGAATTTATTCAGAAGGCTTTCCCCACAGGAATTACACAAAAGCATTCCCTACATAATCCACAGAGGAAGTAATGCCATTAGAACTTTTAGAAATTTGTGTTTTGAACACAGTCAACAAGGAACTGATTTTTCAACACATATCATTAATATATGAGTGTTCAGCTGCATCCTTTACCCAGTTTTAAAGGTGAACATTATGAGACTGTCTGATAAATAACTAAAGCTGAATTTCCCAACTTCAAGGATTAGTCATGATGAGACTTTTTAATAAGAAGCTAGATTGGCATTATCAGTGAGAAAAAAAAGGCAAATGAACTTAATGAGAGTTGGCGTATTATACCCACATCCATTTCTAAAACCAAATTTTACCACATTCTTCCTTTAAAGAGGCAGAGTGATTTTTTAAGTCATTTATTTTTCAATTACAGTTGACATACAATATTATATTAGTTTCAGGTGTACACCCCAGTGATTAGGCATTATATAACTATGAAGCCATCATCCCAATAAATCTCATACTCATCAGATACCATACATAGTTATTAGAATATTATTGACTATATTCCTTATGCTGTACTTTACATTCCCATGACAATTCTATAACAATCAATTTGTACTTCTTAATCCATTCACCTTTTCACCCATTCTCCTAACCCCCTTCCCATCTGGCAACTGTCAAAATGTTCTCTGTATCTGTGGGTCTATTTCTTTTCTACTTGCTCATTTATTTTGATTTTTAGATACAATTCTTTAGAGATATGTATTTATTGACATTTTTGTATTCATATTTTTTATCTTTTTTTCCTTCTTCTTAAAGAAGACCCTTTAACATTTAATGTAATACTGGTTTGGTGGTGATGAACTCTTTAGCTTTTTCTTGTCTGGGAAGCTCAATCTGTCTTTTGATCCTAAATGATAGCTTTGCAAAGTAGAGTAATCTTGGCTGTAGGTCCTTGCTTTTTATCATTTTGAATATTTCTTGTCAATCCCTCTACCCTGAAAAGTTTCTGTTGAGAAATCAGCTGACAGTCTATGGGAGCTCCCCTGTAGGTAACTAGCTTCTTTTCTTTTGCTGCTTTTAAGATCCTCTCTTTATCTTTAATCTTTGGCAGTTTAATTATGATGTGTCTTGCAGTGGGCCTCTTTGCATCCATCTGGTTTGGGACTCTCTGTGCTTACTGGACTTGCATGTTTATTTCCTTCATCAAATTAGGGAAGTTTTCTTTCATTATTTTTTCAAATAGATTTCCAGTTTTTTGCTCTTCCCCTTCTTCTTCTGGCACCCCTATGCTGCTAATGTTGGAATGCTTGAAGTTATCCCAGAGACTGCTTATACTATTCTTGTTTTTTGGATTCTTTTTTTCTTCTTATTGTTCTGATTGGTTGTTTTTTTTTTTTTTGCTTGAAGAACAGAGACAGAATCATGAATTCAGAGAACATTTTGATCGTTGCCAGATGGGAAGGGGATGCAGAGGAATGGCTGAGGAGGTAAGGGGATTAAGAAGTACAAATAGGTAGGTACAGAATAGCCATGGGGATATAAAGTACAGTATAGGAAATTTAGAAGCCAAAGAACTTATAAGTATGACCCATGGACATGAACAATGGTGAGGGATTGCCTGAGGGAGTGGAGGGTGCTGGGTGGAAGGGGTAAAGAGGGAAAAATTGGGACAACTGTAATATCATAATCAATAAAGTATAATAAAAAATAAATTTAAAAGAATGTGAATAAAATTATTTCTTACTACTATGACAACAATTATGCTGCCTTGCCTGGGGCCACCCAGCACAAGATACAGAGATATCTGCAGATGTCTGTTGCTTGCGCTGGGCTTGGAGGTGCCTAGGAGAAGCCAATCTGCAAATCAAGGATAGTTGCTCTAGTGCTGTGCCTGGGGCCACTTAGCAAGATTTCTGGGGTATGTAGAGGCAAGATGATGCTTGTTGGAGAGATTTTAGGAAAGTCCAAAGCATGAGGTAAGAGGCCAGTTATATGGACACTGGGAAAGGGTTTGGGTAGGCCCCCAAGTGGGGCGACTGGAGTCTTAGGGATCACTGGGGCAGGGCAAACAGTGTGAGCCAGGTTGATTGAGACTCAGATACAACACAAGCCTGTCAGCTCAAAGAGGCATAGTAATTTTTTAAAGAAAAAAATTAATAAGTTATTTAATATACCAGTGAGGAGAAAGATATTTGCTTCAAAACAATGTTCAGGGGAGGAAGGATCATGAGAGGAGTTTCCAAACAAACATGCTGTGTTATTGTGTATTGCCTGGTTTTAAGACTTAAATATAAGCTCCCACATAGCAGAGAATGTTTCCTGTGTTTTCCTTACTGAGTATTCAAGCTCCATGGTAAGTGTTCAATAAATGAGAAGGATTGAATGAACAAATAAACATATAAAAGATTGAAGAAAAGATGAAGGAAACTTCAGAGCATATAATGCTATATTTATGAAAAATGCTTCTAGTCTTTCTTGACAGAGTTGGGTCATTACTGGCTGCTTATTACAAGTTGTAGAAAGAAATTATTAGATTGTGGATTAATTATTTTTATTTTTGTTAAAATTTCAAAGGAAAGTAATATATTTCAGGATAACAGTAAACATACCTGTGCAACACTCACTATATGCCCAGAAGAATTAAAAGTGCTTGACATATAATTAGCCCACTTAATTTTCACAATAATCCAATGCGGTAGGTATTACTATTATCCCCCATTTTACAGGTAAGAAAAATGAGGCATAGAGTTATGAAGTCAGTTGATCAAGGTCACATGTTAGTAAGTATTAGAACCAGAACTTAAACTAAAGAGTCTGGGTCCCAAAAATTTGTGTTTTTAACCCCCTAACTGCCTCTTACATTTAACAGTTACATTAACCCATTCTTAGCAGTTACTGAATGTCAAAACATAGAAACTTTGCTATACCTAAATATATATGATTCTAACCCCAAAAATACATTTAAAGTTCCACAGCTTTGAGGCAACTAGAAAAAATAGTGCCATAATTTCATGTCTTCATATTTAAATAAAAGCTCATTGGAACTGAATTCTTGCTGAATACCAGAGAAGAGAAAATTGGACTAAAGAAGAGATAATTGCTTTGAGGAAACAAAAAGGGGAAAAAGGTCTATTTTTAAGCAAAGAATATGAGCTGTTCAGTATTCTCCCTAAAACAAACAATGCATGATGTTTTATGATGAATGAGTTCACTGTTTAATGAGGTTCTAAAATTACATTCTAAAAATATAATTTTGGTCTGTGATTTCACATGCAATTTAAAAATGTTTATGAGCTATGCATTCACAACCAAAACTCCTCAAAGATGTTACCAACAACAAGAAAAAAATTGGGGGAGGGGTGGAATCATTATAATTAGCTAGTTCTTTGGTATCAAAATGATTCTGTGTTACACTTGCTATAGTTAGTCTTTACAATTTGAAAATGCTTAAATTTTCCATTAACCTAGCTATACATCTATTTAGATTTTACAAACTTTTAAAAGAAATAATGCTAATATTTTTAATATCTATAAATGTTCATAGTAAAATAATTACCTTGTCGTGTTACAAATAAATACTATGTCACACCTACATTTATTAATAAAAAGCTTCAATTAAATTATTTGTTTTCCCAACAACTAGAAAGAATAAAAGACAAGAATAGTTTTTAAAAAGTTATAATATTTTTGCATTTACTTGAGTAAAATAAACACTTACATGGATATATTAGACCTTAAAATTCCCGCTTCCTTGTTTACATGCTTGAAAGCGGGTTAATAGAGCATAATCCTGAAAGTTATCATAGGACCATAATCACAGCCAATGAAAGGTCATTGTACTTTGAACTTTCAGTCCTCCAATGACTCTTCATTTACAGCAGCCCCTTCCAAGTCCATAAAAGAGTGGTCCGTGACTTTGTTTCTCTGAACTTGGAGTGGTTCCTCATTAGGTACATATACAAAATTGCAGTTCTTTGCTGTTCCCAAATAAACCCATTTTGCTGAAGATATAGCTATTTATTAAAGGTCAGCAATATATAACACCTAAAGGTCCTTACCCTCTGAAATGTTTACAGGTAAAATCATACGATGTCTGGGATTTACTTCTAGATAATCCAGTGTGAGGAGAAGAAAAGAAGTAGATGAAAGGATAATGAAACAATATTGGGCATAAATTGACAGTTATTGAAACTGAATAATGGGTAATTGTTATTACTACTCTCTCTACTCTCGTACAGGTTAAGTATAATAAAATGCCTTCAGAATATGGCATACTATCTAGCACATAAATAGGTAATATGTTATGATTTTAGTTATTAATATTAAGATGACTATCATTCTAAAATATCGATACAAACTAAACTCTTTGGGTCCAACTTAGCCTTTACATGGAAGTCATATGGAATTTCATTGCTATCATGAGATAACTAATAAGACAATTGGGTTTATAATATTAATACATATTAATAGCAACTGAAATCAAAAGTTGAACAAGAAAAAAAGTGAGTTAAAAAGGCCTGCTTGAGGCAAATTAGTTCTAAAACCAATAGAGAAGAAAGCTTTATTCTTGCTTTCATCAGAAAAAGTTGTCAACATATTGTCTTCCCTATCTGATAATGAAAGGGAAAATATCAGGAAAGTAAGATGTCTAAAAATATCAAAAAAGCAAAAGATTTAGGTCAACAGAAATGGTTAGTAACAAGAAATGTCACCACAAGGGTTAAACACTCAGCATAAAATTTCAGGGTGAGAAACACACAGAAATACTCAGAAATGAATTTGGTATTCATTTATAATTGAGCAGACCCTCAAATGCTTAATATTTGTATTCTCTACTTCCTTCATCTGAAATTAGGATAATAATTTACCTCCTGGGAGAGCTGGAACAAATATTCAAGGACAGGAAAGTATTTTTAAATGACAAAATATCTAAAAATTTTGTACCTCAAAGCTTTCTTGAGGACTATGAGGTAAGTCAACCATAAGATAAAATGATGAAGAAAGTTCTTTTAAAAGCCTAGTGTTAAATAAATATAAACATAAATGTAGAAATTGGAATTATTAAGTAGAGTGAGGTAAATGAAAATTAGAAAGCAGAAATTTTTTTTAAAAAGAAATTTTGACCTCATAAGATAATTGCAACTTTCTTGTTGACTCTTTAGCTATTAAAAATAATATTACAGCTCAGGCCTGGTGGCCTAGTTGGTTAGAGTGTCATCCCGATATACCAAGGTCACAGGTTCAATCTCTGGTCATGACACATAAAAGAAACAACCAATTAATGCATAAATAAGTGGAACAACAAATTAATATTTCTCTCTCTCTCCCCCTCCCTCACTCTCTCTAAAATCAGTAAGCAAAAATTTTAATGACATTACAGAAAAATATTATTTAATGAATTAAAAAAAATTCACTGAAAGTGAAAACAGCAGATAATAAAAAACATTAATGAATTATTGCATTATCTCACTGAGTAATAGATATAGATATACTTAAATAAATGTGATGTATAGATGTTCTCTCCTATACCATGCATATGCATTTCTACAGAAATACATAAAACATACATATATAAGTATATATGTGTGTATATATTTATATCTGAAATACATAAACCATAATATTTACAATGGTTATTTTTCCCAATATTTTCTAAATTTTAACTGATATTTTGTTTTCATAATAGAAAAGCTAAGATTATTTAAAATCATTTTTCATTGAGGTAGTTTCTCAATATTTTGCTCAGATGGGACTTGAAGACCTGTGCTTTGTATGACTTGCCTTTCTTGTTACTATGATTTCGATGGATTTACCTCAAGATAATATAATAATTAAACAGACAAACACAGCTGAACTTTGTCTGGTATGGGTCTGGCATTCAGACTCATTAATTGAATTTCTCTTAATATTTGCTCACAAGAAAAACAAAAAGATCATCTCTGCACAATTCTTCAAAATGAACTGCAGGGGCTTTGCTTTCCATGCTTTTTCTACTCTTTTATCCTTAATTCTTCATAACAAATACCAGAATTCTTCACATTACATCATTTCATTCGTTTCTCCTGTGACATTTTCCCTCTGAGCGTGGACTGTGTTTGGGTTCTGCCTGAAAATTCTGCTGAGGTGCCAGGGGGAAATATTTCACCTTTAGGGCTTACCTGAGGAAAAGTTCAAGCCATTGTGCTGCTTGTTGACTTTAAGCGATAGGGGACAGAGAAACATTTTTTGCACTTCCCCAGCTATATCTGGAGTATGACATCAGTATCTGAACATGTCTTATGGTAGAAAGAGCTCTGGGAAAAAGGAGACTTTGTTCTGACCTCAACCAGTGAAACGATATTTAAAAATGATTTAATCCCGCTGAGCCCATTTCTTCAATTGTTAAATAGGGATAAATGGAATTTATACAGATCCCACCCCCATTGGGTACCCTCCACTACTGCCATCGTTGCCGGTCACAGTACATGAGACGATGGGGAGCCAGTGC